TTTCGTCGGAACGAATTTACGGAAAATCAATCAACAAACGGAGACGTAACAGTATACAAGCTTTCGTCCAAATTCATTCAGTCGTTTTCGAGAAATCTTGCTGACAAACACATTCACACACACACACATATTGGACACAGGGGTGAAAACATAACCTCCATCACCTCCGGAGGGTAACAAGGTCGAGAGTAAAAATAAAAATGTAAACTAAAATTGATTAAGTATAATAAAAAATGAAATACAGTTCATGTAACCTGTCTTATAAATACGTATATTTTGATATATAAACAAGTGATTGGCAGTATAGGTTCTTAATTAATTCATTTAGAATTTGATTAAACATTTTTTAATAGTGGCGCTTTGTGATATTTTATAAATTACTTTTACAGTTTTTGTAATGTGCAATGCGTACAGAAAATTTATATACATTCCCGCGGACAAGTTATCGACATAGTGTATTTTTGTTGGTAAGCGCAAAGCTGCACAATGTGCCATTTGTACTCTGCCCACTGCGGTTATCGAAACCAGATTTTTAGCGTTATGAGCTATTACATTTATCGCTGATCCACCAGGAGGCAGCAGCTTCGCAGAAGTAATTATACGAATTATGATATTTTTATAATTTGTTCGTTTCATGTTAAATGAGTCTTAGAATAATTATTTAACAGATCTTGTGGGATTTATAATACACTGTTTGTCGCTTTAGGATCGATATCCTGACGACTGGAATCAAACGCTGATTTTTGGTTCGTCATTGTTCGTAAATAAACATCACCTCGTGCAAACGTGTGAGCCTTTCGTTTTTGTTCAGTTTCCGAAGTCGATATTTTCAGGGTTTCTCTTTTTGTCCTGAGTGTCTGGGACTTGGAACCTCGGAGAGAGGGAAGGGGCGGAAATGTTGTACATTCTCTAACCTACCTCAGTACTATAAACATGTGCATTTCTAATTAAGTAATTTTATCTTAACCGATGTTTCTGCGGGGTCAGCCGACTTATTTCCATTGCTTTTGTGAAACATCGAACTCATTATCCCTCCCACATTATTTTCATGTTAACCCCCATTGCTCGCAAAAACACGCTCTGCACTTTGAACCGCTGGATGCGTTATAAAAGTGACAGTAAAATCCCCCTATTCGATTAGAGTACCCTAAGAGTTAGCGGTGAGTACTGTTAAATAACTACCTTTCCGGTAGTTCCAGATTAAAGATGGTTAGTCCTTGTGCGTGAGTTTCTTCCAATTATACTACGGCTACACTCCAGGCAACAGGCATAGCTACACGGCAATATAAAGTTAAACGAAACAGGTCGGAAAAGGCGTAGGTATATATTACAACATTACGTTACCTTAACGTAAGAGGCGCTCTTCAACCGTTTTAGTCAAGTACTGGCGTTTATAAAACGAAATATTACATTTTCATTTTCAATCTTCTGTAAACCATTCCTAATAACGGTGTGTAAAAAACAGTTGTTATATAATTTTGATTATAATTTTTAAGCTTGTAGAAATACTTGTATAACAAAAACTTAGGAGTAAGCAGAGAAGGTTGAGTAAAATGTATAATGTATATCTACAATGACACTGGTTGCGAGTAGTTTGCTCACCTTTGTGGTGTAATGTTTCTCAGCAGAAGCGCCCTTGGTGAAATCACCAGTTATAGCTCTGAACGACACTAAAATTTGATTGTTTCTACTATTATACAGGTTAAACTCCGAACGACACTATATTTTGTTGTTATTATTTTTCGGAGTGTAATAAGAATAATTATAATGTTGTAGAGGATAAACTGAACGTTGTTTATAGTGTTATAGGGTTTAAGTCAAGGGCGTGACGTTAGTTTTAAGGGTGGGAAGGAAAGAATAATTATTGCTATACTCTTCAAGAACACGCTCTATGATACGGTGCTACTGACGTGAAACGTTAAGGGAGCACACCCCCACAGTAAATTACTCTGGGCTTTTCTAGCCTTTATTTGTTATTATCATGTTAAACTTTAAATTCTCACACAGAAGTGAAAAGGCGGCATGAAGGAGAAACCTTTGAGATCGTTTTAACTTTGACCCAATCTCCGATAGGAAATCTTTATAGTAGTTATACCTCCCTCGAATGTAGTGTTGACCCGAGATAGTTTTAACTTTGACCCACGTTCCAATAGAAAGTCCTTATAGTTACTTCACCTCCCTCGAATGTAATGTTAACCAGAAATCGTTTTAACTTTGACCCAATCTCCGATAGGAAATCTTTATAGTAGTTACACCTCCCTCGAATGTAGTGTTGACCCGAGATAGTTTTAACTTTGACCCACTTTCCAATAGAAAGTCCTTATAGTTACTTCACCTCCCTCGAATGTAATGTTAACCAGAAATCGTTTTAAGTTTGACCCAATCTCCAATAGGAAATCTTTATAGTAGTTACACCTCCCTCGAATACAGTGTTGTCCACGTCAACGTACTCATAGAAGTATAGTAGTCTGATTCTGATTTTAGATCTTGCCAAATGGTCCAGATGCAGTTAGATCATAGAGATAGAAATATTTTTAAAATTCGTCAAATGAATCTTGTGAAAAAATTGCCAAAAGAGAGTTACGGCAATAGCAGACTTTTCCAGTGTTGTCAAGAAAACATCCACCGTAATTTTACAAGTGACTAGAAAAATGTTTGTGAAAAGTAAAATGCGCATGCGGAAACAACTAAGGTAGCTTTGTACACAACCACTGTTATTGATTT